AACTCCTCTGTATATTTAAATTGTATACGTATTCAATTTGGTGCACCTGTAAATTGTTACAAACACAAGTACAGAATTATATACATGTATATGTGGATCTATTTTTGACCTGTTGTCACTGTTGCTGAAAATAGAATGCGGCGTAGAATTTTGAAAGCATTACCCCTGCTACAGTGTAACTATTACAATTGAAATTAAACTTGACAGTCTCGTTTAAAGTCATCATTTCGGTAAGTTCTATGGTCGATACAATGACCTTGTCAGCAAAAACAATTTTTCATTGAGTCAAATGCTGACTGACGTTTTTATACTAATTGTTAGTTCATTATTTACACACTGAATTGACGACTGATTTTCCGTTATTTCCCGATCATGACAAGGAGCACACAGTGGATGTGTGACCGGTCGGCAGGGGATGCTCACTCCTCTATGGCACCTGACTCTACCTTCGGAGATCTGTGTTTGAGAACATTTTCAACATGGAAAGAAGTTTTTCATTCAAGTCGTTTTATTCTAACTGTACTGTCATTGGCTAAATAATACTGAATATCTAGTGCATATCCGGATTTTCATTTTTTTAAAGTCAAACTGCCAGTTGTTTTTCCTCCAATCATCCAATATCCCAGGCTATCAGGAATATACAATGATGACACGTACCACTTGAAGGCTTTTAAGCGGCAATTAAGCATTCTAATTCATTAAGCTGCATGTAAATCTGCGACTATTAACACAGTTTTGTAATCCAGGCATGTAATAAGTTAATGGATTTTGAACTGATCTGAGGAATACGATTACACGCATTTGACAGAATATACGTTGTGATTGCAATCATTGTCTCCACACAGAGTAAATGCAATACCCTGGTGTTCAACAGAAAATCTATTTATTTAAAATTTATAATTTAATTAATACGAAAACTTTGATTTCCTGTAGCCTATATGTGCGTTTTATGGAAACAAAGCAAAATTTGTCAACTGTGTACTTTTGGTTTGAATATACTGTTGTTTTAATGGACTTTCAATATTTTTGCTTGTTCAGCAAGGAATTTTGATCGATACTGATCCATCGCCGATTCTCTGTTGTCGATTTTTTTTCCCACCAAAGAGTCTTTGTTTTTATGAAGTCACAAGATTGAAGCAGTTCAGTACGAGTTTTCAGTTGGTTGAGATTTTGCACAAATTCTTACTTAACAAACATATTCTCTTCAAAATGTTCTGCTGTAATGTAAATCATATAACTGTTACACCTTTTTTCCGGAGCGACTAGAACAAAATGATCGTAGGATTTTTTTTTAGGATGGCTGTTTATCATTTTGTGCGTTTCATAAATATTTAAGTATTCAGTGAATTTTTTATCTATTGAACGTTTTGATTCAAATTTTGTTTACAAATTTGGAATTCTAGCTTTGTCAATTGTCATCAGCGTTTATAAATTCGTTTACATACATAATAAAGTAAATATTTACCGTCTGAGTAAATGAGAGATATTATGAAATCTGAAATTAAAAAAGACATTTGTCAAATATAAAATTTCTTGTTGAAAGTTCCCCGTCCGGTTTGTCTTGCTAGGATCTTCATGTACGAAAACGTATTTCCAAAACTTTCAAATCTAGGCGTTCTAGATGAAGACATGCACAGTGTATCATTTGTCCCTTACAGTTTTTAGGAGTTAACCTTTCCTTATAAATGTTTTAAATCTTAATGCTCAAACGAATTTAAACATAGCTGATATGGTAACATTCTAGTTTCTTAACGGTGCCGTTACCCAAATGTCCTTGGTAATTATTTGATAAATTATTTATACATAACTTTTCTTATTAGTAGAAAGTGACCTTGGTTCATTTTGTTGCTGCCTCATTTACGTTTTCAGTTGAAGGTCGTTGGTTCAAGAAGTGTCAAGTGCAGATATATCATTACCAAAACACGAGACAGATGTAACCCATACCGTTTTATATTGTGTGCAATAGCCGTATGATCTGCTGAATAATATTGTTAGTTATTAAAATGATATAGCATTTGATGAAAATCTGATGAAGAGAAAATATTAAAACGGGATTAAGATTACAGGCAAATTTGACTTTTATTACGTAAAGAGTGGAATAAATTACAAAACACTACAAATAAATTTTTGATACCATCTAACACGTATCATCGTATACCTAATTTTAAAAAAAAGGTATAAATGATCTAAGAGTTCTTGAGTTTAAGTTTTGAATTGCCAACATAACAAAATTAAATGTGCTGATGTATTTTATTGCTTTATAATGGTACAGGATCCATTTCAGTTAAAAACCCTGTTTTAATTCTCTATAGAGACCTTGCTCTCCACTTTCAAAATTTTCCAAAAATATCTTGTTATCCAAGTTTGTGTAGTTATCCAATACTGCATGATAGTAACAATTATATTTCATTGTCATTCATTGTTGTCTACCTTAGAACAAAATGAAGAAAAGATAAAAGAAATGCTGATTTATTAAATAAAAGGCTATAAGGGTTTAGAATTTTCCTTTAAGTTCAAGGATATAATCCCCGTAGAAGCAGAGATACCAGGAATTGGATATTCTTGATAAGCAATAAAAATTAAGTCTTTTCTTTGTCATTTACATGTACATGTAATTGTCAAATGACATTTTAAAGAAATAAAACATTTAATCCTGAAAGGTTCTAAACAGCACAAACAGCCCTTCAAAACATGTATTAGAGTAACTGTTATATTCATAAGCTCGAGACCTTTGAGGTGAATATAGTTATTTTTTCCTACTTTGAACCTTAAAAAGACCGAGGACAAATTCTTAAAGATAAGTTATGCTCACTTGCATCCGAACTTCAGAGTTATTTTTTTCAACATCGGACTAGACTTCTTGATACAGTCTTTTAGTTCATATTGGATCAAAAAATATTATCAAGAAATTTAAAATAGATACCACTGCATTAATGTATTTATATGTTTGTTTTAGTTACGTCTCTCTCATTGCCTGTGGCTCAGGCATCCAGAAATACTCTACGAGTTTGAATCATGTAATGGTATTATAAAATGATTATTGTTGTTTTTTTCATTAAGTCAATAAGATGATTAGGTAATATTCGACGTGCAATGTTTGCCTCGCCCTTCAGGCTTGGTGAAAATTGAACTTCTCGGGTAACTAAATCATCATATGGACCTCACAAACAGAAATCCTTTATTTTTGGATAAACTGCACAATATCGAATAAAATATCTCACACAATTCTTCTCATACAATTATACTTGTCTTTAAATGTCCATGCTCTAGATGTACATGTATATAGTAGATACCTAATATTGTAATATTTATTTAGGGAAAAAAATATTTAGGCATTTTATTAGACTCTTAAATGAATGTATATCAAAGTTCAACAAGTGAAGATGTCAAAAGGAGGGGGAGGGGATAAATTATCGGCACAGATGCAACCTGCGTCGCTTTAAGATACGAGGTAAAAATAACATTACAAATGGGCCGTTTTTCTGAATCCAACAGGTAAAAGACGATGTCATTTATTACACAGTTGTTCGACTTTTGACATTCAAAAACAAAGTCCGTTTTAATTATATCTTTATGAAGAAAATTCTGAGGCGCAGATGTTTGATACAATAATTCTATTAAGAAAAAACGAGGCATTTTTTTTTCACTCAATTTTGCCATGATCGTTTTCATTTTACATTGATTTTGTATTATACCATACTCGTGGTAAATTCCGAATGATAGTTTAGAGCACGAGACTTACACGAGATCTGACAGATCTTAAACATTTCATCAGATAAGTGGTGTTACTTTTACTCTCTCATACGGTAAAAAAAAATGTATGATTCCAATTACGCTGTGCATCAATATCGCTTTATTTTCATGAAACATCAGACTAATTTAAACAACAATTTATAAGAAACACATTAAATACGTACCAAAACACGCAAGAAACACGCGTGGGTAACAGCTGATCATTTTTCTTAAAATATGGTGTCGACGATATCTTGCACGCTAAGCTATTCCCTTTGTGGTATTTAACCAATCGGTTGTCGGAATCAAATTTCTTCCGGTCTCGGCAAGTGATGAGACAGGACAATGAAATGGACATGTAAGGTAGGGGCTACGGTCACGACCTAACTGGACAACCACATCCAATAAAAACGTCACAAGGTGTCATGTGACAAAAGGAGAAAAACCACGGAAGTTATTAACCATGGTCATGATAGTATTTCGCCAGCCCATATATTTGTAATAAATAAATGGAAAAATTAACATGACGAAATGTCCATTAGCAATATCCCCTGGCCCATGCAGAGGAAATTGAAATCGCATCTATAAGCTACGTGTACACTAGGTATTTTTCTACTGCCCACAACATTGTGGACAGTAACATATGTTCATTATAATATACCTTAGTTTATATATTTTGCAAGTCAATGACTCAGTATTGTGTTACATGTAAACATGCCGCTTTTTGGTTTGCTCGTGTGAAAACAGTTCGAATTATTAAAAATGAAAAAAAAAACAACAAAAAAAAACACAAAAACACGTCGAACGAGTCACAAATGGACATTTCTAATAAAATGAACGAAACACAATTATCGAAGGTGTAGAAAGAATGTCTAGTTTCAAGTAAAATGTGTATTTTAAATTAAGTCATTTTGTCATACACAGATACAATCAAGACCATTTTCTGAATTTTATGGCATTCTCCACAGCACGATTCTCCTGTTTATTAGAAGTTACGTGATGGTACTTTTAATTTTAGGAATCAAAAAATGACAAAACGTTTCATAAATTGTTTCTTTTTTATTGTTTGTATTTTTTTTTCTTTTTGCAATAGACAACAATTTTCAATAACTTTATAAGTTAAAAATGCATAAATAATAATAATAAATAGATGAAAAAGAATATAAATAACAAATCTCATATCACATTCACAATGAACAAATGATACTTCAGAGTGATATTTGAAACATGTAGTCCCCAGTCGGCTCTTGGAATGTAAATTTGGAGTGTTGTTTTGTATTTCTGTGCAAAATATTTCAGTTGTATAATGCTGATAATGCATAAAGATTTATTAGATAACTTTCGCTACAGCGCCTTCAATGTAACAATTTGAAAGGACAAAATATTATTATATTGATCATATTTAGTAATTGAAATCAACAATATGGTTAAAATAAAAAAAAAATTCTTACAATATATTTCTTTGATAAAATGTAAAAGGTAGTTCTCTGATTAGGTGAAAATACAGTCATATTTTGGATCCATATAAGATTTGTGTTCATAGAACATGTATGTATCGAACCGACCAGGGACGTATAAATAAGTTAAAAATGGAACGATCTCATAAGTATGAAGTTAAACTGAGACAATGACATTTGAGTTATAAACTGAGATCAATCCAGATAATACTGCATTGTTGTGAACAATGCTAAACTGAAACCAAAGTCCTCTAGACTACGTGTAATCTCTCACTGGATTTTCTACCGAAATTTCAAAAGATGGAACCATCTTTCGGCAAATCGCATCCACACTTCATGGTTCGATAGAAGCAGGGTATCCCCGCTGAAACGAGCTCACTGCCTGCTTTTTGCCTTCTATGGCACTTTCAGCTCCCATCCAATGTGTTGATTGGAAAGACTTGGCGCTGGTTGGAATAGAAGACATCCCCACACGTTCTGGTAAAGGTGTAAAAATAGGAGTCCGTAATTCAATAAATAAATAGTCCACAACGTCAACTGATAGAACACTAACTCCTGTAGGTCAAAAGCGTTCTAGGTGTTCGTCTTCATCCACCATCATCGGAAAAAATAAATACCGGGAACAATTCAATAGTCTGAAAAGACAGAAGATAAAGGATCATAAGAAATGATGTATCAGCAGTGTTCAATAAGTAAATGGTTTACAAAAACCTATGGGAATATCTTGATTAATAATTCACCGGAACAGATAATGTCTTCATTTAGTGGATAGGTCTGATGTCAAACCCGTGAAAAGAAAGAACATTGAACAGAAAAGTCGCGCATTGCCCTATCATTTACATTGTCATTGTATCTCAGCGATAACGGGTATAGTGTGCTAAATATTTAAAAACACTACCTGTGTCATCATAACTTGCATACCTCGGTTACAATTTCTGAACTGTGGGTCAACAGTTTAAAATCATTTTATCGAATACTTTGTTGTGGCGATTGATAGATTAAATGGTTGTGGCAGATTGAATCAGCTTTTCTGAAGGGGCAATTAATATAATGAAATAAAGTCTTACGTTTTCTATTGTGTCTGCACTTAACGAAGGAAGAGCAAGCTCTGCGAAATATATCGACCGTACACATTAACAGTGGGGGTTTATTATTAATTTTTAAATCCTTTTATCTCATTAAATTAAATAACATGCCAAAACAGACTTTGCGTTTTTCCCCATGCATGTCTTATTAATTACACTTTCGGTACTTTTAAACACTTAATGCCACTGCAGTTTTTTTTCATCTCATTTTTTCTTCTTGAAGTTTTGCCCTTATTTGATACTTAAATAATTTTCATGTTCAAACAAGTTGGGGAACAGATTTGTTTTTCCCCTGTTTCTTATTAATTATTTTTCACTTTTTTGTCCGGGAATAAACTGTTTAAACCTTTTTACTTAATGCGCGCACTGCTTGCAGAAATAAGAAATTTTTTGTGAGGATATATAAGTAGTATAGACTTGACGACATGGTGAAAATAGCAAGATCTCACGCGCATGCACGTGCACTTCCTCTGATTGGCTGCTTTTTCCCTTTGAAATTTTGAACATAGCCATGCATTAAGATATCTTTTTATCATGAAAACACGTGCATGCACGTTCGCTGCAATCTGATTGGCTTTTAAACAGCTATAACTCCCTTGGTTTTCAACCAAACAGGATGGGATTTGGAATATAGATAGATATAATGGACTTCTACAAGTAGGTATGGTCACCATGCACATTACAGTTTTGCCCTTATTTGATACTTAAATAATTTTCCTTATTAACATTTGTTGGTTTAAATATGTGTATTAAAAATATAGATTGTGTAGACAAGAATTAATATACATGTGCACGCGTGCAAAGCTAAAGTTTAAATGATTTTTGTACACTTCTTGACTTGAAGGCAGTAAATTTTATTTTTTCTGTATCCTTGAATGTCATTTTTATTAGCTTACATGTGATTTCAATGCAGATGAAAACGCTTTTGTTATCAAGATCTAGCTTCATTTTCCTACAATACCGCTCCTCAGTTAACTAAAAGTGTACTTTACTTTTTGATAAGAGGTTCGAAATGAGATTTTTTATCCTCTTTTTATCAATAAGTAATTCAAAAAGAACGGGACTTTTATAAATATTGATTTCTATTTATAACTATCGTATATGTCCATCAATATCTTTGATTACTGCAAGAGTGCAGATCATTTTTATACTATGTTTTACAGCATTGACAAAGTGTATGATGATTTTATTAAGATTATTTTTTTAACACACCGGGAGCAAGGCCCTGTGATTCATGTAATACTAATGTCTTTTTCACTTCTTCACAGTGTCGTGCTGACCATTTTAATGAAGGACATTACAAGAAAAAAAGAACAAATGTCGCTTTTTATAAAGATTGACAATAATTCATGTCTGATTATTCACACATAACTTGATTTATATATCAATTAGTTTGTGGCTCGCATACTACTTTCCATGAATCAGACCCATTCTTCAAAAAGTTTCGTGAAATGTATTAATTTTAAAAATGCAACGTTGTGTGTCTTTTTTATGGTATTTATGTCAAATGACAAATTAGTAGCTTGTGAACTATCATTAATATGTGTTGTATTTTCCCCCTTTTATATGGCATATTGTTAACCAAGTCAATAAATTTTAATGATTAATATTTGGCATGATGTTACAAATTTTGACTCGTCCCTGACAAATTATTAAACACACGCTTGACCCTAAAGGCTAGCTATTGCATCAGCGGAGTGTCGAAATTGTGTTTCACAAATCTATGTTTCGTTCGCCTAATTAAGTACTTAATGCCGTGAACCATTCAATATAACACGTTGCCTGCCAAACCATGTTGGTTTTGAAAATCTGATTGTGGTAAATTTGGCAATAGATTTTTGAAGTGTTTACAAATGAGAATCAGTCAAAGCACGTGTTCCTAATTCATTAATTATAAAATATACAAAAGAACAAGCTATAACTTACCTAATAATCTTGTAGTGGTCAGCTCGATCTTAATCTTTTCAACAAAAGTTTTAAATTACTCAGTTTTCTCAATTTAAATTTCTTTGTAGCAATTTCACATCTAGGGCCTGCAAAACCTTTCCTGCATAGACAATGGCAGTATCCAAATATTGAAGTAGGCATTAGAATTGTTCCCCCATTAAAACATTTTCCATTGCATAACATCAGAGCTGGAATTGCTGATACTGAGTTCTTAGTTAAATCATGTGATAACAATATCACAGAAATTGCTAAAAGTGACCGTAGTGTTAAGTAAATCATCTTGCTTTAATTGTCTTGGACTGTCACGTAAAATATCACCTTGAATTTCTCTTATCAATTCTACACGATCTCCGGAATAAAATGCACAGTCTGATAATTAATCCACTTCAGTTGTATTTAACGAGCGTCCCTGTATTTCAAGCATACTATTGATATCGAGTTCCTGTGCCAATGATACAATGAGGGAACACTTGTACGTGTTATATACTCGCTACCTATGAATATTCATTTTCAAACAGCCAATGGAGTCAATGACAACCCAAAAAGTTCTCACGGCTTTCAGAGGATCGGCCCACGTTGTCAGTTGTATATTGTAAAATTTTCTATACTCAAAATCAACGGTTCTAGAGGATGGGTCGTAAGTGTTTACAATAAATGAATGGTATATAATAATTATATTGTGAAGGTGTACACGTGTCATTTACTACAGAAAGGTTTAATGTATTGAATATAATAGTCTTTTTTTATTCATTTATGAATTGGCAATTACGATATACATAAAGTAAAAGGACGAGGACGTCAGGAATCTGATTTTGATGTGTTGCCGTTTTAGTTCAATAATAATTTAGTTGTCCATATTCTTTAAAAATGGGGTTTGCATCAATTTTATCTTTGAGACAAAGAGAACACAAAACTATTGAAAAGGCTTTTTGGCGATATAAAGGTTTGGTACATCCGTTTCATATGCTAGAGAATATTTCTTAAGGTAAAAAAAATCATAAAATACTTGAATACATTTTAGTTGATATTTAAATTTTTTTAAAGTAAACTTCGTATTTTTTTCGATGTGCATTAAAAACGTAAAGAAATGATTATTTTGCGGATTTTTTTTTTCATGTGCAAATTTTCGTCGAACGCTGTTCATATAAATTTAAAAACACTATTGATATTTTCCGACTCATATAAACTCAGTCTGTTTAACAACTGATGAAAACATTGATTATCTAAACGTGAGAGATGACGAGATGATAAACACATGTAATATATACCTTCCCTTTCAAAATTTAAATAAAAGAACACATGTCTTGTTGATTTTACACTTTAATAAGTTTATCCTTCTTTGCAATCTGCGTCATTATATGCAACACTTATAAATAAATATTAAATCCTATTTCAGTGCATATTATAGGAAACGTATCGAATTCTAATATTTTATTGTGCTTGTAAATTCAGAGGAGGAAAGCAGACTATCATAGCAATCTCAATATGTGAATATATCTGCAACATTCAACAAAATAACCGATTTTGTTAAAGAATCATGAACAAATGCAGATTCGATGGGACTTATACTCGTCGCTCGTTCAATTTCGATCCTGTCCTATACCGGAAAGGCGATTACACTAGAGGGAGGTTGTTCAACAAATGTATCATTCTAGTTTCTAGCGTGTCACTTTGATCTCTTCAAATTAAAATAAACGATGACTAACATTTGTTGTACTTTCTTCTTTTTCAATTGCACGTATACTTGGTTACACCTTCTGCGTGTGAAAATGACTTACATTTATATATATTTTCCGTTGTACTATGAGACGTGCTGAATCTACAATGTACATGTCAGAAACTGGTACGTCTAGGTAATGTATTTAAGAAACATATTTCTTCCGCAGGTGAAGTTTTTTTTTTCTTGTCAATAACATTTATTACACATAGACAAGGATCTGCAATAACAAAACGTTTGTAAAACATCGTGTTTATTTGAAATTACATGTAGAAATAAGACTGATGAATTTCGTTTAACATGTACTGGACAGGTCTTCTTTCCTAATTTTGTTCAATATGTTTTTGCAACACGAAATGTTCATACCTGGATTAAAGTGAATGTGAAACTTACCAACTGTGAGATATCACAATTATAATGGACTATTGCAACTCAAGGACCTATCCCTAAGCCTTATTGTTTCAATATCCTGCTAACTGCTACCACGATAAGGAAAGATAGGTTCAACGTCTCAAGTAAAATTTCAAAACTTGCAAGGTCGCGCTTCAAAGATCAACAATTACAAAAATACCTAAGAGTTAATTTTGATACAGTACATACGGTATTAGTTTACACTAATGAAGATAGGGCTTGTCATCCATTGGTCATATCTTTATATAGTCTAAGGTCATCTTAATCTGTGACAGTTATAAAAATCTTTGGGCGGGGAGTGTATTATGCATTGACATCATTAATTAGCGACGTCATCTTTCTACAAATAATGATGTTGAATATTTATATCAACTTGCTGAACATCAGAGCAATCCAAAACATTTAGATAGTCTTTATAAAAAGGTTGTGTCTATCAACATGGCGAAAATTCATATTCTAAAAATAAACTTGAAGGCCAACCATGTGTGCCCAGAAATCTTCGCATTAATTGCAATAAGTAAACATGCCGAGGGTACAAAACCAATCTGAAGTCGATATGAACTAGTGTCAACAAAATTGATTAACATATATATTAAACTGTTTGCACTTCGTGGCATACGATGGAAACATTCAAGGTTAAAATAAGTTTAGGTCTGTAATAAATTTTTCTTCTTTTGCTTTAAATTGTTCAATTTTAAACTTTCTCTTAATTATATACTACATTTACTGAAGCGACCATGTTTTATTCGGATATAGATATTCATGGACCTTGCTTTAAATGGAAGAGGTACATGGAAATTGACACCTATACTGAGTATACACTTTTCGACATATGTGTGTCGCTCATTAAACTCTACAAATATTCTAAATAATTTCTAATTTCAAAATAATATGTAATATATATGCTATTCTAACACAAAAAAAATCCAAGGTAAAGACACCAAGTCAACATGGACTTCCCAAGCCCTGTGACACATAAAAGAGAAGATGTTTTCTCATCTTGGTGGGGGCAAAATGTGTCATATTCCATCCTCCAACAGCTTTAAGGAGGTAGTCCACCACATTTCATACCAGTAATGATATAGAGAAAAAAAACATCTTATATTTAATAGCGGAAACGGTCTATTAACAAAAGGGCTGAGCAAGAGTGTTGCCCCCGAAACTTACCATTTCCTCACGATTGTATCAGGCACAAAATAAAGTTTTGTTTTACTATGCTAATTTGGTATAGGTATTCCTAAAATAGCAAAAACCAGTCTGGGTTTGAGTCATTAACACCGATTTTATTTCAGATTCTTACGATTGTGTTGTCACATAAGACCAAAGGGTGCTCTCAAAAACTCAAAAGTTATGCCAAGCCGCAACGATAAGACTTTGTAAAAGATAACACCTAGTACCTTTCAAAATAAGATAAAATGAAAAACCTATAAAGCTGGTTTTGAGCCAACTGAAGCAAATCTTTCGATTCTGTTAACTTCTATCTGCATATTTACAAATACTTCAATAATCTAATACGTTTGGTAGTTGCCAGTTGGAAAGGACTGCCATTTTCTTATTTCTTCGATTGCAAGGTTTCCAAATCATGCGACAATTTTGTAAAAGTACTTGTTCGTGTTCTTAATTATAAGACACCAATTGATAGCGTGCAACACCTACAGAACACATTACATCGAACACTCTCAAAATACTCGATAATGACAAGATTTCAATTAATTTTAATGGAGGACGGATTATATGAACATTTTTTTAATTGAAAATCTTGAAATAACAAATGAAGCCATGTTATGTAAGTAAATTGAAAGATTTTAACGGCAAAGATTTTAATATATCATTCAAAGGGGTATTTATAGCGAAAAAAGCTGCTAGATTAGTAAGGATAGCTGCAGAAAGGTAGAATGTTGAACACCAAAAAAGTTAACATTGCCTTAATAACTTACAAATTTATAATTTGCATCATTAACATCCAAAATGGGTCCAAAAACATTTAACCCAGACATCAATTTTTAGTTTGTCTCATTTGTATTTTCAGAGTAATTGAATTGCAAACTTTATATTATATACATACAATTATAAACTAGGAAATGAAGGAACAGTCTTAACTTATATATTGGTCATTAGTTAAAAAAATGTCCAGCTGATTGAAAGCTATACTGGGTTTCCGCAGGATGCAGATGTTTGAAGTATTGAATTAGAACGTTGTTTGCATAAAAAGTAGCCAACATGCTAATCAACTTTAAAAGCAAGACAAACACAAAGTAGCTTATCTTTATCATTGCTTGCTTTATCATTTTCAAATGCATATAGGGCGTGAAGCAGATACTGGTATAATTAGTAAAATGCGTTTCATTAAATGTAAATATAATCAAAAATTAACTTAATTTCAGAGGATCGTTGAGTACAATACTGTATCTATCATCACAACAATTACTCAGCTAAAAATTAAAGATTGTTTTGGTACGGGGATTCTTCGAAAGAAATTCAAACATTCTCCATCAAAATATAATGTATCACTCTTTGGGTCGTGGCGGGATTGACTTCAAGTCTTGATAATCTTGGACACATCATTCAAATCGTGACTTTACTTTTTAATTAACAAATGGTAGTTCAATCTGAGAAGTTCATTATGATTCAGGTTAAACATTTGTTTCCAAACCGTGATATTAGTACATATGATACAGGTAAATACCGGTATTGTTAAGTATTATTTTAATAATTCAAAAGTACGGGAAAATTTCAAAATGTACCAACCAGAGACTTGGGGACTCAATTTTATTTGACATATTGGCGCACCATTTTAATTATAATGGGTAAAGAGTCTTCCTCAAATGGTTCCAAGAAATAAGTAATTGCATATAAATAAATACGTCGGACTGAATCTGCGCTACCTTAGTGTATAAGGATATGTATCGTTCAAATATATAAAATATCAATATTAAAATTGATCTACTGCAACTTAACTTTGATTTTTGTTTACATTTCTGGACATATGGGCTACATGTACTAAAATAAATGTACTTGTAACATTGACCAAAACAAGCCAAAATTTATCTCCGAAAACGTGAGATGGACGTCGCTAATGCAGAATGTGGAGAATACTTTCCATCTTCGTTAGCACTTATTAACATGAACCGTCTCTAGTAGATTTAAATTATTCAAAATCATGTCGCTCTGCATCTTTGAGATATATCAGCTAAAGCTTCCGTTGTTTGTCGTGCCTCTAACGGCCTCGTCGTTAATTTGGAAGCCACATCAAAACACTTGAAATATACTGATTTAGGATGAGGAAATGAATACCAGACTAATTGACCGATTATGAACTGTATATCAAACTCAAGAACTTAATAAAGTTGTTTGCAAGGAGTTGGCTTGTTTTTGTAATCGAAATTGAAACCAATATGTTTCTTTCAGTTGTGTTATAAAAAAAAATTGCATGAAGA